AATTTGCTGTTTCCTTCAAGTATCTGACGATCAAATATAATATATTTTGATATTTTACCTTATTTCACTGAATCCCGTCGGTATTCTCAATTATTTCTTTGAAATATTATTTATTTTTTCTAAACTAATTACCCAATACACCATGTTTGAAGCGAGACTTTTGAAAAGTGGCCAGCTCAAAAAAATTTTGGAGGCCATTAAGGAACTACTGAAAGAAGCAACATTCGATTGTTCCGATTCTGGGATTCAACTTCAGGCCATGGACGACGCCCACGTCAGTTTAGTGTCCATGTGCTTAAAAAGTACTGGTTTTGATAAGTTTCGTTGCGACCGGAATTTGTCAATGGGGATTAATCTAGAAAGGTATAAATAAGCACATTGTTACTCGTAATATGTAGTCAAATAGTTAGTGCTAGAAAATTATATTTATTAATTTATTATGTTTGTATATTAATTTAGCATGGTGAAAATCATGAAATGTTGTTCTAATGATGACATAATGACTATCAAAGCRCAAGATAATGCAGACACTCTTACTATTATGTTTGAGACAYCAAACCAAGAGAAAATGTCGGACTACGAAATGAAACTTATGAATTTGGATCAAGAGCATCTTGGTATACCTGTATGTTGAAAGTTAATGTTTAATAATTGATAAAATTTTTCTAAAATATTAACTATGCCAATTAAATTCCACCCTCACATTACCTAATCCATTATTGGCATTTCATTATAAGTATATTCTRTTGCATATTTGATGGGACAGAGATGTCAATGTTGTTTATTATGTATCACAATGTTTGGTAATTTAAGAAGATGTGATAGCTTTCACGTCTTGAATAAAATGTTTAGGTGGRTAAATCRTTGTGAGAAGTGAGGAACTTTTACACGTATAAGATAGGCGATTACGAAGAGTAGGGTCCAATGACGTCATGCGGCTATTTTACATTTTATAATATCTCTTAAAGTAATAATTTTTTTTTCCATCAGATTTTTACTAAATCATTTCATATAGCCATATCTACAATAATTTAACATTTAAAAATAATTTAAATATTTTTTTTTTTGTGTTGTGTGCTCCTTTAAGTGTATTATGTAAATCCATACAATGTTTACCAAAGTATCATGTTCAGGCAAATCAGAAATATTATATAAGAATCCCCATGTATTTWTATRMGCTTCCAACTGTTCAAAACGTGACTGTATTGATGTTATACTTGTATCTATAAGACAATAGAAAAAATCTCTTTTAAATTCCTCTTCTASGGTAGGTTCATAATTGTCTAAGCTTTCATATTRAAATTGTCTTTTAGTTAGTCTACGTCTTTTGGGTTTGAAACTTGGTTCCACATTTAAAGTTTCAGCGATGTCTTTAGCAGATGAAACTGCGGTAATATATCCTGTGTTTCGATAAGAAATACTATAATTCAAACAACCTTTAACAATTGAGGTTGCTGTGATTATTTCCATAGTGATTCCTTGCATTGCTTTACTGGCTACATTGATTTGAAATAGTAAATCGTACCAAACAACAAGTGATATAAGAAATTCAAATTCACATAGGTTATCGGCTAAATATTGTGCTTCATGACGAAGACCTGCATGTCATGCGAATGACAATAATAATCATTTATCATCTATAGACTAAGTTATCATATTATACCTTTTTTTTTTTTCCGTTTTAACCGACGACGCCACGGGATCTGCTTTCGCATTGCTTCCGCGGCGCCGCCATCGTTTATATAGACTAAGTTATCATATTATACCTACCATAACAAATAATAATCAATAGAATGAATAGAATATTAGAACTATATTACTATATTTTTTTCAGTTTTAAGTTTTAAGATAATATCATTGAAGCGCCCTGGGCATTGGCCCAGGTCGCCCACCCCTAACGCCGGCCCTGATGTAAATTAATTTATGATTTATATGTTTTCAACAATTTATTCATTTAGATATTCTGCACTATTTATGGTCGAACTTATTAATGTCATTAGAATGGTATTAATTATAATTTTAAAGTAAAGTATTAAAAATATTTTGTCTCCCCTCCTCTCATTTCTCACGGCACACCGGTTGAGAACCACTGCACACATTAGTCATTACCCTAATGAAAATGAAAAATAAGGATAACACTTTTATTAAACTTGATCAATTATGAATTCCATGGTTCCCCATAAAATAAACTCACAAATTAATTCCTTAATTAAAACAACTTTATCATTTTCACCATTATTGACTCATRTCAAATTTCTAAAACACTAAATTGCAATGATAATAGAGCTTAGAAAGTAATTAATTTGATGCTTTAAGATTAAGATATGTGAAAATGAAATATAGTTTTTTTTTTCTAACACTAGATCTATTTTTAAGACATAAAACTACTTACTATTGTATGATATACAATGGACTTTAATTTGTACTAGAGTAATTTGTACTAGATACTAGAGTTGAAATAATAAAATGTTAAATGTTCATATTTTTATTTCTATTTTAGGAAACCAATTATTCGTGTATAATTAAGATGCCTTCTACTGAATTTGCAAGAATTTGCAGAGATTTGAGTCAGTTTGGAGAATCTGTTATTATTGCTTGTACAAAAGATGGTGTAAAATTCTCTACTTCTGGTGATATTGGGTCAGGTAAGCTAATAGTATTTTAGCATTTGTGTAAAATAGTTATTMATTGTCTTTATTTAAATGCAATTAGCTAATGTCAAACTTTCCCAAAACGCATCAATCGATAAAGAAGAAGAAGGGGTTACTATTGAAATGCAACAAGCTGTGTGTTTGACATTTGCTTGTCGTTACCTAAATTTGTTTTGCAAAGCAGCTCCATTATCTCCACAAGTACTATTATAGTTTGGTGAATGGTTATTTTAGTATTTAACTAATATTTTTATTTTCATTTTTAGGTTATTTTATCAATGTCTGGAGATGTTCCAYTAGTTGTAGAGTACCAAATTGAAGAGTTGGGCTATATCCGGTATTATTTAGCACCTAAAATTGAAGAAGATGATTAATTTTAATAGTATTATTTATTTAAAATAGATCTTAAGGACAAACTTATTACTTGAGCATTTTAACAGAATTCTTATTTGTATACATGAAAATAGTCAGTTTTAATATTTTTATTTTTCATTTATTTCTATTAAATATTTACAACATTATAAGATCATAAAAAATAAAGTACTGAAAGAAATGTAATGTATAGTAATTAACAATAAATATTTAATTACTGAGCATATAATAAAAGTACATTTTTAATATTACAATTTYACATTATTATCAGGAATTGGGATAAATATAATAAATATTTACTATAAGTAGAAAATCTTTTAAAAAYAATGTAAAATGGAATGAGATCCTAATTATTTTTACATCACTATATACATTTTATTAGGATTTTACACAATATTGTAATATAATTCAATATATGCAGGAAGACAATGATCTTTTTATCATTGTTGAAAAATAAATTTTAATCCTTAACATCTGTTTATTTTGTACTAGTATCAAAACTATGATATACTTCAGTAAAAGTTACATAAAAAAAAAATGCTGAAAAGATAAAAAGCATTTGCACTAAAATAAAAGTAACATTACTTCATATAAAACTATAAATTTGGTATGCTTTTTTACAACATATGAGTGTTGAAAATTGTCTTACAAGTAAATTGGAAGTAAAATTTAAAGGAGCTCATTATCGATATACAYGATGTATAAGCTGTCAATAAAAAATGAAAGAATTTAAGGAAAGTAAATAATTTGTAAAGTTTCCATGTAAAATACATTTTTAAATTCAATTATGCAATTAGCAATTGATTATATTCATGAACTCTAAAAATGAGATAGACCAAAAAAGTAAAAATGTTTTATATATTTTTGAACAATTGTATATTAAATTTAATATTYTTATGTCGTAGGGGGTACTTCGTCTTGGGCATTACAGTATTCAACCATRGCATTAGGACTTATAACTGTATCGTGCAATGTTCTCATGTGTCTTAATAAATTACTTTTTACATTAAAACCTTTATTGCAAACACCACACTGGTATGGCCGTTCACCCGTGTGCGTCCGACTATGTATTAACATGCTCGCATGTGATGGAAATGTCTTTGTACAAGTTGGACACACTTTGCGGCCATTCATAATTCTTGGTCGCGGTCGTTTGGCTGAGGGTAGTATGCCCGATCCACCACTCGCCAAACTATTTGTAATGGCCAGCTGTTCTTCTGTATGTGCACTTTGAATGTGTCGCACCCAATCTCCGGGTGTCTGGTACTCTTCTTGACATAGTTCACAACGTAAGGGAGGTAACTCGCCTCCATCGTCTTCGTCCTTTTTTATAATTAAAACAAATTAAGAAATGTTTACAAGACGGTTTGTTAACCATGCATGCATATAAAATAAATATAATACACCTACTGTGGTTTTTCTTCGTTTTCTTTTTGGTAAATCGGTAATTGAGCCTAATTCGTGAGTTTGTATGTGTCTTACCCAAAGGGCTGGCGTTCGAAATGTTTCTTGACACATATCGCAGGTCAATGGAGCATAATAATCAGAATCGGCTTCTTCGTCGTCATCGTCATAGTTGGAGTACAGTTCCTATAAATGTACATAACGAAAAACTTTATTTTACAAATATATTATGTATAGATTTAAGAGCATGTCAGCGCACCACTAATTTGTTATCTTTTCCACCCACAAGGAAATTTGCTTTGAGGTAGGAYAAATCTTGTGTTAGAGTAAGACTATAATAGTTAATTAACTTATTGGCTATGTATTATCAAAAATCTAATCTTAATGTTAAGAACATAATATTTGTGCCGTTAGCTTTTTTACGATGTGTTAAAACTTATCTTCGAAAAGATTTGATTCATAATATGAACGTTTTTAGATTATATTATTAAGGGAATTTGATACCGAAAATCGGTTAACATTTTTTTTTTTTTTTTAAACACTTGATAATATAGAATTGAAGACGTGTTTCTCTCCTAAGTCCTTAGTGGTACCTATACTTAATCAGTAAAAACTTAATAACTTGGAAAAATAAAACTTTCAAATTTCGATTCCTTACATGAAAATGTACATTATTAAAATCCCTTACCGGTTGAATGGTCATTTCAGTTCGATCACTGTCGTTCCATTCCAACGGTTCTTCCTTGACGGTGATCTCCAGCTGCAATGCGTTGTGCATGGGATCTTCGTTTTCCGAATTTTCTTTCTTCACCTCGCCGTCATCGTTGTCCTTGTCCTTTTCGTTTTCCTTGTTCTCGTTGCCGTCGGACAACACTGACAGCGGCATATCCCCTTTGGACTTCTGCCTTGACTTGTCGTCCTTGTTGTTGTCGGGCGTCTGCTGTCTGGGCACTACGCCCACCGTGTTCTCGTTGCTCCGACACAGCCCTCTCACCCTCAACACTTCGCCCGCCTTCAGCACCCGGTCCAGCTGGCTGTTGGTGACCGTCGCCTCACCGCTGTACATGTACTGGAGCAGTATACAAAGCGTACGGTAACTGATGTCGGCCGGCAGAACAATGACCAGATTATTGGACAGGCAGCTCTGGAACACTTGGTTCAGGTACGCGCTACAGGCGGACAGCACGAAACGGTGCGCCGACACGTTTCGGCCGTCAGTCGTACTCAGCGTCACGTCAGTGAATGCCGTGGTGCCGTGTAACGTTGCAATAGTCGAATGTAAATGAGCACCGTGACTATGCCATTTCAATTGGTAGTTTTCAGCATTTGCCATATTGGACATAATGCCAGCGTGGTAACCTGAAACAAAAAACCGTTAATAATTTATTCATCTCGGGTAGTTGTTTTTATTTTTTTAATAATATYWATTWATTWRKTWGKKWGTRWST